CGGACTTGTCAAATCTGGTATGTAACGTCACATCTGAAGCGCCTTATCACTATGGTCGATGTCTTTTATCGTGATGACATTTTATATGTTGTAGTATTAATGACCAAACGCGTGCTCTGTACTCTAAGTGATTTTGAATAAAAAAGTAGTGAAAAAAAAGTTTTATTAGATATGTGTGTTAACAGTGACAGAATGAAGTTTTGAAAATTGAGCCAGGTAAATGTATGGAACGTATTGTTTAGACCTTGGACAACAGTTTTTTGTATTTTACATTTTTCTCAATTCGCGCTGTATGAAAGTAACACCATCATATTTTCATCAATAGCTTGTAAGGTATGATGGCGTAATTTTTGTAACGTACAGTGGCTGATCATTTTTTGCACGAGTTTTAATTGTCTTTGCATTTTTGTGTACTAATGCCTCTTGTGCTCCACCGCAATAATTCTCGAATATGTGACACTTGCGGTCTTCTCTTCTTCTAGTTGCGTTAAAACAGTCACCAGCTTCTTCACATGTCCAAATTGTAACCATAACTGAAGTGAAACTGTTTTTCTATAATGTAAAATCATCAGTTTTTTTGTTGTTATTTTTCATCATTTCTAGTAGTTTCAATAAATGATTTTAACATCTAGATAATATTTTAGTTGAATATACCAAATCCGCCACCATACCTTTCAAATTTCAAAAATAAAAAAAATCAGTGTTTTGCGCCAAGAGCTGTAAAATTTTACTGCATTTAAATTTTAACAGCCGCTTCTGACAGAAATATGCTTAATAGATGTCAGCAACTGTCTGCTTTTGAAATTTTGAAAAATATTGTTTTTTGAGAGAGAGGGAGACGCAAAAAACAAAGTGTCCGCCACCATACCATACACTCCCCTACAATTTTTAAAAAATGTGCACGGGTTGGAAAAATTTCCAAAAAAATTTTTTTGTCAAATTTGTTGATTGCTGCAAACTTTGTATAACTTATTAAAATTTTCAGTTATGTATCATTAATCGCAGAATTTAATAATCTTGCGAATGGTATATTTGTTAATTTTCTGATATTTGTATTTACAAAACAATCGTGATTTAAAGATTGGTATGTTTTTGGGCCGTGTGCGTGCATCCGTACCGATAATTCCCGACGGTAGTTGAGTAAAATGTCTATTTGGTGTCAAGTTTACTGAGAAAACTTGAAAAAAACTAGCGTGGCAAAGTAAAACTTAAATATATATGGGCATATCTCTGGAACCTTTAACTTTCATGTCCCTCGCATATATTTCGATAATTTCAATAAGTTTTTACTTTATTTTTGTTGGAAATATTAAAGCTTGATAAGATAAGTCAGTTCCAACAGGTTTTACATTAATTTATTAAATAGATCAATAACTATTCCAATTTGAGTGCCCGATTTTTTACAATATCTACTTGTCCCTAACCATACTTTCGGATGGGTTAAACGATAAAACTTTGTAATGAATAAGAATTACTAATTCTAAGACGCATCCTTTTTAATGTTAATTAAACAGTGTACACTTTTCCGTATGGAAACTAAAAATTTGTTAATTGTGAAAAAAGTTATAAGCTTTTAAAAGTTGTCCCTCACTTTTAACCTTTTTGATCCTAATCGACATATTTATCATTTTTCATGAATATGACAAATGGCACATCAAAATGACTCACGGGAAATAAAAGTTCAAATTACACAGGCACACAAAAAAAAAACAAGTTTCGTGGCCGAGACACTACAGTAGTATATTCCCATGTATTTTTGGCCGCTGAATCCGAATCTGAAGTCCGAATGCTCAAATTGGTTCTTTTTTTTGAGTTATACTAAAAAAACGACTCAAAACACGAATTTGAACCAAAAAAATTAAAAATTTTTTTTGTGACATGACAATAGCATATTTCCATGTATTTTTTCCCGCTGAATCCGGATTCGAAGTCAGAATTGACAGATGTGCTCAAAATTATGAGCTAAACTCAAAAAACGACTCAAAAAACCGAATTAAAATGACGAAAATGAACAATTTTTTCTGTGACACTGCAAAAGTATATTCCTATGTATTTTTTCACGCTGAATCCGAATTCGAAGTCAAAATAGACAGATTTGCTCAAAATTTTGAGATAAACTCAAAAAACCACTCAAAAAAAGACTCAAAAATCCGAATTAAGATGAAAAAATTTTTTATGACACTACACTACTATATTCCCATGTACTTTTTTCCGCAGAATCCGAATTCGCAGTCAGAATTAACAGATTTGCTCAAAATTTTGAAATAAGCTCAAAGAACTGATAAAAAAAGCGATTTAAAATAAAGAAATGGAAATTTTTTGCTATGACACTACATTACAGTATTTCCATATATTTTTACACTCGGATCTCGCATTTGAAGTCAGAATTATTCTAATGGCTCAAAATTCTGAGACACACAAGAAAATCTGTTAAGTTACAAAAATTAAAGTCAAGAAACTCTACTTTTCTTGCTAGTACATTACATTAGTATATTCTCATGTTTTTACATCTGCTTCTAAATTCAAAGTTAAAATTATTAAATTGGCTCAAAATTTTAAGTTAAATCCAAAAATGCTCAAAATTTAATTTAATGCAAAAGAGTTCATTTTTTTGGGATTCGGTAGTGTATTCTCATGAATTTTATATACGCTGAATACAAATTCGAAGTTAGAATTATCAGAATGACATAAAATTTTTTAGAACTCAAACCCTGGTTACAGGTACAAGCATGCATGTTTTTGAGCACTTTTAATGAAATCAAAAATTTTGAGCCACTTTGAAAATTCTGACTTTGGAATCACAGTGAAAAAATACATGGGAATACACTAGTGTAGTGTCATAGCAAAAAATTTCCTTTATTCATATTAAATTACATTTTTATCAGTTTTTTGAGTATATCTCAAAATTTTGAGCAAATCAGTCATAAATCTGTCAATTCTGACTTTAAATGCGAGATCCGATATGGAAATACTGTAATGTAGTGTCATAGCAAAAAATTTCCATTTCTTTATTTTAAATCGCTTTTTTATCAGTTCTTTGAGCTTATCTCAAAATTTTGAGCAAATCTGTCAATTCTGACTGCGAATTCGGATTCAGCGGGAAAAAGTACATGGGAATATAGTAGTGTAGTGTCATAAAAATTTTTTTTCATCTTAATTCGGTTTTTTGAGTCTTTTTTTGAGTGGTTTTTTGAGTTTATCTCAAAATTTTGAGCAAATCTGTCTATTTTGACTTCGAATTCGGATTCAGCGTGAAAAAATACATAGGAATATACTTTTGCAGTGTCACAGAAAAAATTTTTCATTTTTGTCATTTTAATTCGGTTTTTTGAGTCGTTTTTTGAGTTTAGCTCATAATTTTGAGCACATCTGTCAATTCTGACTTCGAATCCGGATTCAGCGGGAAGAAATACATGGAAATATGCTATTGTCATGTCACAAAAAAAAATTTTAATTTTTTTGGTTCAAATTCGTGTTTTGAGTCGTTTTTTGAGTATAACTCAAAAAAAAGAACCAATTTGAGCATTCGGACTTCAGATTCGGATTCAGCGGCCAAAAATACATGGGAATATACTACTGTAGTGTCTCGGCCACGACACTTTTTTTTTGTGTGCCTGTGTTATTAGAATTATTTTGAGACATAGTAAATTGATGTGTCTCGTGTCTTCAAAAAACTGTTGTTATTTAAATAACAGAAAACACGTGCGTACAAAATTTGAAAACGACCGTAATTCGAGTGATACTCCACGAAAATCAAATAAAAGTATTTGAAAAAAACTTGTAGGTATATATTTTCGCATGTGTCATTTAACATTCCGTGAATGTGCTTCAAGAAAAAATACTTTATTGCAAAGATATTGTAAAAATATTTGTCAATTACGGTAGACTGTAATCGACCAAAAGTTTTTAGAAAAGAAATTGTTAAGTATGCGAAGTTGTCAATTCTTACTTTTTTATAGAAACTGTTAAGAAATAAAACTGAAGGTTAAGTTTCAATGTTTATTTTGATTTTTTTTACACAGAATAAATGATAAAAAAAATTAATTCTGAAAAAATAAGATATAAGAAATAAGAAAAATAGAAAAAATGAATAGAAATTGGAAAGTTTATGAGTGTTAAATTTAAATAAAATGTATCTAGAAATTGCAAGGTAAACTTTATACATTATATTTTTACAATTCAGTTTAATTAAAATCTATTTTTAAAATAAAAACTATTTTAATTTTTTAGTAATTCAAACAAAAAATAAAAGAAAAATAATGTTAATGACTAGTAATAATAAAATAAATATAAAAGTAATATATTATATAATAATATAATTATTATTATAAATTATAACCAATTACTTTCAACTGTTTTTGATTCTAAAAAACAAACACCTGTTAAATATTTTTTTGTTGCACGTTAAAAATAATTCGCCATTTTAAATAGTTTATAACTTTTTAAAGACAAATCATTTTATCTGTCCACTTGCATATTTTGAAAGCTTATTTATTAAAGTTTATGTAGACAGAGTTTCAATACTCTGATAAAAAAATTAACAAATTTTTTCTCATTGAAAAGTTAAAGGTTCTATAGATATACGCAGAAGTTTTCTACGACATCTAGAGCTGCGCACTACATTTTATTCACCTTCCTTACAAGGGAAGTCACCGTTTATCAAAATATATTCATTTTAAAAAAACAATTTTTTGGAATTTTTAGAAAGTTTTGCTGCAAATTTTCCTTAAGAAAATTTGTAGTAAGTTTATTCTGCAAACTTGCCACCAAGCTGACATTTTGCTATTTTTCTCAAGTTTGCTGCAAACTTACAGTGCAAATTTTTAAACTTTGCATTGCAAACTTGCTACGAATTTGCTAAAAATTGTTGTGCTATAATTCTACGTAGAATGATATCAATAGCTCAAAATTAAATTTTTAGGATATAAGGTTCTTTTCATCGCGTCAGTAAACATAGACAATTTTTTTCAAATATATTTAATAATTGTATGATATTTCAGAAGGTGAATATAAAGAAAAACAATGCTCCAGAAATGGCCTTGTTTGTTGGTGTGTTGATCCTAACGGAAAAAAAGCATTTGGCTCCATGGGTCTTGCAGAAAGAGTTGATTGCTTATCAAATCTTCAAGCCAGGGCTCTTTCCTCTTCCTGTATTCCCCAACAATGTGCCCAAGTTTGTCAATACGGCTTTAAAGATGACAATTCTGGTTGTTCAACTTGCGAGTGTAATAATCCATGTCAAGGGTAAGATTTTATTTTTATAATAAGTATTAAATTAATTTATTTTGTTTGAATCTGTTCTCCAAAACCAATTTTACCATGCATATTAAGCCGTGAGAGAATATTAAATAATAATTTTTAATAATTACTTAATATTAGTATTCATTAATATTACGCGATTTTAACAAAAAGATAAATATTTAAAATTAATAAATCTAACAATATTTAGTAAACACTAAAAGAGAGGGTTATTTACCTAATTACGGATAAATTCGCTGACCTATTTATTCGCATTAAATTTTCATACCATCAAAATGTTATGCTTATATTTACACGGAAAGAATTTAGGGCGACCTACTGTTCCACTTGAATGGAAATTTGACGACTGTGATACTATCTCAATTCGAGCATACTACAATCCAGTTTTGGGTATCCAAGTTGAAAATTCTGCAGACATTCCGCAGACTTTAAGTAGATTCCTGTCTGCAGACAGTATGTTGAAAGTCTGCAAATATTCTGTTGTAATTCTGTTCGTTTAAAAGATCATAGACAACAATTATTTAGTGAAACCTAATAGATTTATGATTATCCTGCTCAGAAAAGTTAACAACTTGAGAAGTTAATGTTAAATCGATGTCTTGAAACACACCCTCACAACAAAATGATATCATGATGATATTTCTTATTCGCAAGAAGGCCAGGTCACACTGCCTGAACCAAAAAAAAGTTTGACAAAAATGGATCCACAATCTGGTTGTCGGGAATGTTTCTGCATCATACCAAATGTAAAAATCCGTTGAGATCAAAATCCTAGCTGATCCTTTTTTTGAGATATCAATATATTTACATGCAAATTTTTGCAAAACGTTCAAATTAAAACTTTGTAACTTCATGTCGGCAATCCAATCACGCAAAAGGTATCTTAAATATTTTTTATATGTAAAAATATATCATTACATTGATATATAAATATAATATAAAATATATCATTACAGACCTAAACAAAGAAAATTGATTAAGGGGTTATGCCACTCTAGAAACCGAAAAAATAGGCATTTTTTGTGAATTTTTTGCAGAGAATTTATAAAGTCAATTAAAATTGGAATATGAGGAGTTTATTGTACATCTTTTGAAGTTTAAAAATATAAATTTTCATAATAATTTAATGAAAAATGGCGACGCTGTTGGGGTTTTCCGTCGACATCTCTGTGGCGCATATGGTCCGTGGCCGCACCAACTGTTCCCGTAAATTTTGAAATATCTTGAGTATATAATTTTTTATTTATTGTACATTACAATAGCTAAAGCAACACGTAGGATTTTTTCGATATATTGATCCATGGTCAAATGGCGCACTTCTAAAGTTAACCTTTCTAAATTCTACCAAAAAATCGTCAGTAAATTGTTAATAAGAAATGAACAATACAAAATAAAAAAAAATCCTACGTGATGCCTTAAAAAATATATTTTCAAAGATGTTTGTGAAGTTTGAACTTAATCGGTTGAAAATTGTACGAGTTGTTAGTGCGGCCAACTCGAAAAATGTAGTTTTCAGATAATCGCGTTTAAAGTTTAAAGTTAATATGCTCTTCACATGCTTGACTATGCCTAACTGACTGAAACAGACGCTTGCATACTGTTTGTGAAGCCAAATTGTGTAGAATAGACTATAGTTTAGGCAGAAAAGTAGCCTTATACCTGCTCTAGATCCTTCAAAGATCACCTCCCGTAGCGCGCTAACAAAAGGACCTCGCCGCTACGAAAATACGAAACTACGATAATAAATTACTTAGAGATTTTCCCTAGCCGTAATACTACGATATGTTATTTCTGATACCCTAAGGGACTATTTAATGCAAAAAAATAAAAATCGATTTTTTTAAAATCCTAGAGTGGCATAACCCCTTAATATTTATTAAAATTTCGGGGTTTTTCAATATAAAGTTTAGTTAAAAGTTGGTTTAGAACTTTTCTGATATTTCAGGTAATATTTCCGTAACCTTTATATTTCTTTCAAGTGTATTAATTATATTTTAATAATATTTGCACAAAATTTTATTTATTTGATTGAAAAAATACAAACAATAAGACATATTATGTAGACAAATACAAAAAAAATTTTATTACGTTAGGGTCCCCACTTTTCCCCACATTCCCCTAGTTGGACACTGAAGGATACGTTATTATAAAAGGTGTGCATTTAATCGAGTCAAACCAAACATTAATCGACTCGACAACAGAAAATTTGAATAGGAGATAATTCGATTCGAACTAGTCAATTCGAAAATCGGCGTTTCGAATTTCGAATTGCTCAACTCGACTCGGTCTACTTTCGATTCGAATCGGCCAATTCGAAGTTTCGACTTTCGAATTGCTCGACTCGATTTTCAAATAAATTCGGCCAATTCGAAACACAACATACTGCAACACATCATAGCACATTACATAGATTCGAAAGTCTAACTTCGATTTTCGAATTGGCTGACTTTATTCGAAAATCGAGTCGAGTTGAGCAATTAGAAATTTGAAACTTCGAATTGGCCGATTCAAATCGAAAGAAGACCGAGTCGAGTTGTGCGATTCGAACATTCGAATTTTGAATTGGCAAGTTCGAATCAAATTTTCTCTCGATTCGAATTTTGCACACCTCTAGTTCTTATATTATGCATTTTTTCTTAAAATAACAAATAGTTACTACTTGTTTGAGCACATCAATTAAAGGTGTTTTTCACAATTAAAAATCATATTAATTTGTTACAAATACTTGAGTATTTAATAAAATAAAGTAAAAGCATTTTAATGAAAAATCACAAAAGCTTCAGTAGTAGGAAATAATTTTTTAATTGCTTACTGCTGGAAAATTGAAATAAAGCTTATTAGAAGTTGATAATATAATACTTAAATCTTTCACAAATATCAATCAATTTTCTTCTTTGAGGTCTTATTTTAAATGTTATTACATATATTTACATACAAAAATATTTAAGATACTTTTTGCGTGATTAGTTTGCCTACATGAAGTTAAAAAGTTTTAATTTTAACGTTTTGCAAAAATTTGCATGTAAATATATTGTGACGTGACATTTTTGCCACGCCACAAAATGTAATTTTGTTTGATAAAAATATTATTGATGCGGATATTTCGTCTTTAATTCTGGGTATTCTTTCGCCCCGACTTTCGATTTTGGTTGGATATTGATTTCACTACACTCTTATCGTTTTGCCTGTTTGCAATGGGAATTTGGATCAATACTGCTGGGACTTTATCGCAATTTGGTCAACAATAAGGTGTGACCCACTTGTCATTTTTTGTGGATTTTGCGGAGGTTTCATCAACAATGAGGAGTGATGAAATTAGCAACTATCCGGCCCTCTTTTTGCGAGCGTACTGTTGACATTAAGGCACAACAGTATACTTCCTTTTTATTTGGGATTTTGTCGACAATGAGGAGCGACTGATCTAACTATATCGTCAATTTTGGATGCTGGACGTCAATGAGGTGCGGACAGTCCAAAATCACTATGTTTTTTTTGTTATATTTTTTGTTTTAGTTACGCTTTTGGTGGTAGAAAATAGATCCAGCCTCCGTATCGAGCCTTCTACTATCGTATTATGGATCTGCGTAAACGTAGTCAAAATATACGTTTGTCGAGATTTTGACATATCGTCTGCGGACTAAAATAAGGACCACCTGCAGTAGTCTAGTTTTCCCGAGGCAAAGTACGAGAATTATTGAGAAGAATTCGACATCTGGAATCTAACGTTATCGAAAAGAAGGATGGGTCTTAGATCAAATATAGCCAAACTTATGATTATCGTTCAAGGACTTCTGTCAACGGCCACTTCATCTCGCTAGCAGCCAATTTCAGCATTTTCGTATTATTTTTATTTTTTATTTATGTTTTCTTAGTTATTTTTGTAATTTCGCGCGTATTTGCCTATTCGTCTCTTATTTGATTTTTACGGTAATTTAATATTTTTTTGAGAATTTTGCCAATTTTTCAGTTTATTATTTAATAGTTTGATTTTTTTAATTTAGAGTAATTCCGACATTTTTTTTGCTATACTTCCAGAGCGCTAGCTCGGTATCGGGATAACACATTTTTAAAGGTTAATTCTGCTGTAGTTTATAGAAAATTTTGATTCTTGAAAGATTTAATTTTGTTAAATTTCATTTTGATTGTGTCCCGGTCTTAGAAGTTTAAAATGTCAAATTTCTCGTGTATTTAATCGTTAAGATTCGAGATTAGGCGAAATAGTTATTGCGATTATTTGATTAATTGTTATTTCGAGTTATTTTCAATTTTATTGTATTATTACAGAATGTGTGATATTCGAATTTGAATGAGTTTCGCGTGACCGTGTAGCAGACGACGATGCGCCTGCGTCCTAGAGATTAGGGTTAGGTTAGCCAAAAAGGCGCGACCGGCTTGTCGAAACACGAGGCTAGAAGCAACATTTGGTCGGCCGACAGCGTAGAGTCACATCATTTTGTATCGTCTCGTCTATATCGTCTCGTCTGTATCGTCGTTTTCGTCGAGTCAACCTGCCTCCTCTTGCGAAGCCTCATCAGGAGGAAAAATTGCGATCTGTTCCTCTTGTGGTAAAATCTTGGTGAGTCGATGTGACTATTTTTTTGTAAAAATTTGGTTAATTTAACCCTTTGCGGCATAGTGGTAACCCAGATTACCACCTTTTAAATTGTGAAAATATCTGTTTACATACAGTCTTTTTCAAGTAAAATCAAAAAATCTTTGTTTATTAATAATCAAAACATTGTTAAATGTCAAAAAATTGATAGCGAATGAGGTTACGTGAAATTATAAACAACTATAAATAAAGTAAAGAACAAAAAAAATTTTTTTTAAATTCAATTGTAATTGATTGAAAGTCTTCACTCGAGGGTTTTTGGGGTCGCTGATTACGAATCTGAAGTCCGTTTTCCAAAATTCAAGATGGCGGATCCAATATGGCAAACGAATTTTTTTAGAATTAATCGAAATCGCTTGAAAGTCGTTACTCG